TATCGGTTACAAGAACGATCGCGATGTTTAGATGGGATACTCGCAGTCCAGGTGATTGAGAGAGGGTTGTGTCTAGATGGGATACTCGCAGTCCAGGTGATTGAGAGAGGGTTGTGTCTAGATGGGATACTCGCAGTCCAGGTGATTGAGAGAGGCTAGGGTTAACGAAGTACGTCATAGGTTTCCGAACACACGAGTGGGACTTTATAGAAATTTTTATTATAGAAAATATTTATTATAGCTTAATTTATGCTATCGTAGGGTACGACTACTAGACGACTGAATAAAATTCCCCTGACAATTATACTCTACTCCCTAGTCTCTCTCAATCACCTGGACTGCGAGTATCCCATCTAGACACAACCCTCTCTCAATCACCTGTACTTTGAGTATCCCATCTAGACACAACCCTCTCTCAATCACATGGACTGCGAGTATCCCATCTAGACACAACCCTCTCTCAATCACCTGGACTGCGAGTATCCCATCTAGACACAACCCTCTCTCAATCACCTGGACTGCGAGTATCCCATCTAGACACAACCCTCTCTCAATCACCTGTAATTCGAGTATCCCATCTAGACACAACCCTCTCTCAATCACCTGGACAGCGAGTATCCAATCTAGATACAACCCTCTCTCAATCACCTGTACTTCGAGTATCCCATCTAGACACAACCCTCTCTNACTTCGAGTATCCCATCTAGACACAACCCTCTCTTCAATCACATGGACAGCGAGTATCCCATCTAGACACAACCCTCTCTCAATCACCTGGACTGCGAGTATCCCATCCAGGCACATCCCTGTGGATACTATCTATATAGTGGGTTTCCTGTGGAGTGATATGATAACGAGGCAGTTTCCAAGGAGAACCAAGATGGCGGGATTTGATGAAGAGTTTGAACAACACTAACTTCAAAATACAACAAAAAAACTGTCATGAACTAGCAAAATATACTAACAGAAGTCTCAGTTATCAACAACCAAGGCTACTGGAGTCATCAGTGGTTTCAAATCTCAAGAATTTGTGGTTCGTTCGTTTTAAAATGTCCCAACAAGAAGGTCAAAGCAGAAGACGTCGATCACCCCGGGTTTCTTCTTCAAGTTCAAGATCAAACGAAAGCCTTCACAGCCCCAAAATCAATGAAAATAATAGTAATAAGACTCCTTTAAAAGATGGTGGTGGCTCAGGAAGAAAGGGGAATTTTTCAAAGGTATGTTTTAGATGGTTTTTTTGAAGTCGTTATTTTGTAAACATCTTCAGGTTATCTTTTGTAAACAAAAACACTTGACTTATAAAAATGATTTTAAGAATCTTATTGAAAACTAAAATAAAAAATAGTTTCATTGCCAATTTATATCTCTATTCAATTAAATCTTAGTTTTATTTATTTATTTTTCAAGATATTCAGCTTTAAATAAAAATATTTTTTTTAAACTGCTGAGCAAAACGTTTTCTCTTTATTTTAAATATGTTTTTGTACAAATGACGTAATGTTGATTATACTCACTAACACTGAGTTTAATATTCTCATATTTTGTTTAAAGCTGGTTCAAAGTACTTTATTTTTACAGTTTGTACAAACAATTCTTTCAATTTTATATATAAAGCTTGCTATATTTAACAATAAGTGTACAAATTTTTTTTGGTGACAGGATTGAAATCCTTACTTTTTTTTTGCAAAAACACTTGTTATAAAATAACTGTCATGAGCATTTCTGATTGGTTGGGTGGCATGCTCTATATGATTATTACTTAATTCATATCATTATTACTTTATTAAGAGTAATCACATTCTTGTACAGTGTAACTAGTTTAAATTTGGTTTATAATGTTAAATTGGATCTGAAAAGCCCCCTTGGGAGCATCTAGTAAAGCATATTGTATTGTATTGTATTGTATAAGACGCTGCATAATCAACAAACAAAATCGAACGATCAATTCCAAAAATGGTTTTAAGCTTGCGCTGAGCTCACGCTCCATGTGCCAGTGATTCGTAAACCTATGTGTCTGTCCTATGTGTCCGTCCTATGTGTCTGTCCTCACACATGTAACTGTCAGCCAATCAGATTGTTAGAATACTCTCTGTTTTTGTAAAAAGAGTACTTACATGTACCTCTCACCTCTGGGGTCTCAGGAGCAATTCCTGGACTCAGCATTGCATAAGGGTAGAGTTTTGAAGAAATAGTTATAATATTAAAAAATAGTTTTCTCTTGCTATGTGACAAAACAGAAGGGGGTCCATCGTACAAGCAGTAATGATCAAGTCAGAAAACTGGTGGAAAAAGAGGGGAGAACGGCAAGAAATCTGGTGACCTGGTCTGTCCCAGTGAATAATGATCACTATGAAGGTGAGCAGCATATATTTATATTTTTTTGGTTTGTTCGTTCTTTCATTTGTTTATTCATTTGCTCCTTCACTCATTTGGTCATTCTTTCATTCATTCATTCATTTTCTTTACAACCACGACACTAGCATTGATTGTACAATGTATACCATTCTAAGGACATTTCATTTCATTCTTGTTTTTCTCATTAATAATAATTCATTTCTACCTTCCTTAGAACTTTTAACTTTTTTTATAATAACTAGTCAAATTGGTAATATAATGTACAATTGTAGTGCAGTATTACAATCAAAGATTATGTCTAGACATTAAATTTACTCCAGTAATTCATTTTAGTAAAAATACACAGGTGATTATTGAAAATCTCGCGCTCTGATTGGTTGAGAAACCCACACTATCACACGATAATCCATCAAGCGATAATCCAAAATGGCGGCCAGCCGCTTTGTTGCTGTTACCAGAAAAAAATGTCTGTATACTTATACTAAAACAATTATTATTTGCCTCAGCCTCAGTGAATATTGGAGAATATTTACCTCGCAGGTCATAGACTCGCATCTTGGTAAATATTCCCTGATATTCACTTCGCCTTTGGCGAAAGTTGTTAAATATTACTTGTCTAAGTCATTGCTATTTTCATTAACATGTGAACTCATGCAGTAGCTGTGAACTGCATGCTGAAATCTAATCAGTAGGTACCTTTCATATTAATTTGACTGACGGCAATGAAAAACTAAATTCCAACAGGCAAATTGCAACTACAGAGTTTGCATGTTGATATGAAAAAAGCAGTTTACTGAAAGTAATTTTTCTTCAAAACATGTACAGATTATAGAATAATTTGTTATTTGTCACTAGCTCATGTACTAATTTTTTTGACAGAATAATTTGTCATTTGTCACAAGCTTGTGTACTAATTTTTTTGATAGAATAATGTATATTTTGTCATTTGTCATTAGCTCATGTACTATTTTTTTGACAGAATAATTTTTGTCATTAGTCACTAGCTCATGTACATATTTTAATTCAATTAGTCTTTTTTTCAATTCATTTTTACATTTCCTTATATATTTTATTAGACTTAATTTGGAACCTTTAATTTTCTGACAAAACAATTATGCACAAAAGCTCAACTATTTTCCATTTCTTTATGATTAATTTGCAATCCATTTTATTCATTATTCTAAAGCTTATTTATTTAGAGAAAAACAGTAATGCAGGTTGATTACTTTTTTATTTCATTCATTTACTAGTATTCAAAAAAATTAATTTAATATTTTCCATTTTTTATTAGTTATTTATTGTTCTAGAAAATATTCCATTCTATAATATTATTGTTATGGTAAACATTAAAGAAACAACATTATTTCTCTAAATATTTATATTTTACTTGTGTTTGTTCTGCTGGAAGACAACTCCTAAAATAAAGAGAGTTTTGAATTATTAACTTCTCAAATTTATTAAAATGCACAGTGTATTTTAGTAAAATATTCGCAATATGATCCTTGCCCAATCTCGTCCTCACCAAAAACCTGTCACATTGTCATAGTTTGAAAGGAAAATGAATCTCCCAGAGTTTTAGATTATTGAACTGAATAATGGCCCATCTAAATGGTCTTCTTGTTGTGGTCTATTGAAAGTTTGATAATGAGATATTGATCTTTGCTGTTACTAGAGCCACCAATGGATCGTGTGAAGCGAGATTCATTGAACAATAATATTTTGCATTTAAATTGCTCCTTTCAGAACACATCCTAAAACAATAGTATATCAAATCGAGCATATTTAAGATTTTATTTAGTACCTAAGACAGGTCCTTTTTGGCCCTTTAAGTTCGTATTCATGATTCTATTTTCTTCAATGGACTAACATGATATTTTCACAAGGTTAGTATGTACACAGCTTGAATGTTTATTTCTATCCTTCGTAACTAAAAAATAGACTAACCAAGAGACATAACGTGTGGATTAATATTCAAAGTAACACCACCAATACTTAGTATTTTAAGAGATAACACCTGCATTCTTTCAAGTATTTTCACTGTCTGAGCAAGTAATCATCGCCAGTCTTCATCAGACATTTGCAATTAAATTCCACAACAAATCAATATTTTCTCTTCAAATTTGATGATATTTGAAGTAAAAATTCATATTTTGAATGGTTTAGACTTATCTAGATTTATTGGTTTTCTTGATCGAAAGTTCACCTCTTCCTTATTCAATTTTTTCAAAAATAATATTCACAAAATTGTTAATTCTTTATAATTGATATGTGCTGTCAAAAACATAAGCTTTGGCTGCAAAGTTTCCACAATGAATTATTCATTTTGAACATCATTTATTTTTTGACATGTGGATGAAGAAAAATGGCTTAGGTTGTTATCATTTGTGCACCGCTATTGAGGTATTTATTTTGTCTTGTAAAAGTGGTTATTTAAAAAAAAATTCTAGGGATCAGACCTTTTTATTTTGTATTTATTTCAAAGAAAACATAAAAGATATACAGTTACATGTACATGTTGAGTGATTAAATATGCACTGCAAGTCAGGTAAACTATAAAGTTGAAGACTTTCATTTTGAACTTTGAGTTTTTTTAAAAAGAGGTCAGAAAAATAATTAATGTACATGTTAAAAATATATGTACATGTTATTTGATTCTACAAGAAACTTATACACACTATTTACGAGATAGAAGTACAACCACTGGCTAGCTCACTTACTTGCTCATTCCCATTTCTTTAGCATATTTTCTATAAATGGCAGCTTACGTTAAGTTGTTAAGATTCATCTGATTTTTTTCCAATTTTTTATCCAAACTAGACTTAGGTTAGATTTAAAAGTAACAATTGGTCATTGCATAATTCCACAAAATTGAATGGACTCTAACATTTCCTTGATATATAAATAACTCATATTTGTAGTAAATCTAACTCTCAGATCTCAAAATTCCAATACTTCACAGAATACTCCATTTTGTAGTTCTGTTCGAGTGACCAAGAATAATAGTTGCAAGTTGAGGCTACAGTTTCCACGCATAGCAAAACTATACTTTTTATCAAACTCCAGCCTCGGCTTGGAACAGAACTGTAAAATGGAGTATTGGTAAATTAGGTCTCAATTAATTAGGTCTTTCAAAATTACCTTTTTCTTGTTCCAAGCTTTAAGATCAAAAATTGAAAACCCGTGAATAGCATTTTGAAATTTTTTCTCGTTTACAGAAATCTTGTCATCTTTTCTCAGCATGTTAATTCTGATAAAATTATTTTTAAGCTTAAAATATGACACTGACTTTTATTTGTAAAATAATTTGATTAAACATGCCTTGAAAACTGTGTTGTAGACTGACTATGTATGTGTTAAAGGAAAATTTTCAAATGTTCAAATTTTTAAAACATTTTGAAGAGATATTTGAGCATTGAATTAAGATTTTTCTAGCAGTTTTAAAGAAGGTTGTCATTTTGATTTGTTTTTATTCATGTCCTTTTGTTATTTTGTTATTTTGATATTTTGACTTCCAGCTGATGATGATGAAGGGTGGTTTATGGAAAACACATTCAAAACATGTTATCATGTAGAATTCCTTTCAACTCTGCCTTTTAGGGACAAATATGCAGATTATATTTCCATCATTTGGAAAAAGATTGTTTAATGAATGTTTAAATATAAACTTTTTGCTGTGTACCTGGACTATAGATTCATTTACATAGGGTTAGCCTTGCATTTTAATAATTAATATTTACAAGAATTGCACAACTTCAACAATACAAACATTTTGAAATTACACAGACCTTTACTGGAACACATGAATATTATGCAAAAAATCAAGGCTAGCCATGTGTGAATGCAATCTTAGTGACAGAACAGAGTAGTATTTTTTGAATTCATGATATTTATTTCACCTGATAAAACAGTAAAACTGCAATAAACTGATTTTTCAACTACTCCAGTGGCCGTTATCAGATTTATAATATCAACAAGTCAAAATGCTAGCATGGTTTCCATTACTACATGCTGATCAAGACAGCAATTGTGATAGGGAACTTGGGCAAAGTAGTACCATCAATCCAATAAATCATCAATGTAGGTTCTTGTGTACAAGTACCTTTAATTTACTCACTCAGAATCATCAAAATACTTGAATGACAGTAATTACCTGTCACAGCTTGTCTCAATCAGCTAATAGCAATAAAAACAGTGAGTTTCAATGTTTCTGTCCAGAGAGAGCAAAAAGAAGCAAGCCAAGAATAATGACCAGGAAAAGACAAGTAACCCCAGAGCAATCAGGGTCTTCAGAACGTGACTGCTCACCTGCAAGTAAGAGTAGCTCAAAGTCTCCAAACCGAGGAAGAGCAGGAAGGAAGACGTCCACATCATCAACAGGGAAGAAGAGTGACCTTAGAGCAAGATACTGGAGCTATCTGTTTGATAACTTAAAAAGAGCTGTGGATGAGATATATAGTACATGTGAAACAGATGAAAGTACAGTAGAATGTGAGGTGAGTTCAGTGGATCTGACATGATTGTCATGACCCTCCCTGCTTCCTTTCCTCAATTCTTTCCTTGCTTTCTCCCTGCCTTCCTTCCTCACTTCCTCCCTCCCCTCATCCTTCCCTCCCTCCCTACCTCCCTTGCTTTCTCCCTCCCTTCCTCCCTCCCTTCATCCTTTCCTTCCTTTCTCACTTCCTCCCTACCTTCCTCCCTTCCTTCTACCCTCATTTCCTCCCTCATTTTCTCCTTCCCTTCCTTGGATCCTCCCTTTGTCCCTTCTTTCTTTCATCCTTTCTTTCCTTCATACCTTCTTTCCTTTGTCCCTATCTCTCTTCCTTCTGTCCTTATTCAATATCACCTCCCTTCTCCCATATTTGCATCATAAAATGCACTCTAATTTATTATATACACATAATCTATCATGTTAATGTAATTATTCATAATTATTTTCAGGAGGTTATTATGATGCTTGATCAGTGTCGACGTGACTTTGCCGCTCTCATTGAGAGAATATGTCTTCAGGATGCTTTTGAAAAAGCTGACTACAAGGACAGGTAGACGATGATGATTGATGATTATGATATTTATATAGCACTCTTTTTCACATGGATATGTTCAAAGGCGCTTTTACACTGATTTATGAATGAGGGATGGTTAGTATGAGGTGTAGGCACTGAGGGTGGTCACTGCCAGGGTTTCTTTACATCCTCAGTGGTTCTTTTRCATCCCTCCGATGTTGGTTAGTAAATGTGGAGAGATGGGACCGCCATTTAAAGTGGTCATCCGAGCCACTTGAAAGTCTAACCATTTGCAGATGTAATTACAAAGGCAGTACTTTCTCCTCAGTTATTTTAAGACCCTGAGTGTTGGTCCGGCCGGGACTCAAACCACAACCTCCCACACAAAAGTCTGATGCTCAACCAACTGAGCCAACTGGTTGGCTGTTGATGTTGAGCATTACACCACTGAAAAAAAAGAAAACGTTGTGCATGACGTGTGTAGTTAAAAAGCATGCGGGTATTGGTAGAACACAGGAGAAATGTTAGGAGAAGCATGACCTGTAGCGAGCGAAGGAGTGCTTCTCAAGCGTTCTTCTAATCCCCAGATACTTTTTAACTACACACAGAACAGTGACAAGTTTTTTTTTTCTTAAGGTATTAGGATACGAAAAATGACGAATTGCTCGAAAAAAACTTTTTCTTTAATTTCGTAATTTTAAACTTTTATCTTTCATATGTTTGTGAAACTTCTTGCAATTTTTGATTGGAAAAGCCAAAATTTTGAGAAAAATCGAAATCGTGACTTTATCAAGACCGGAAATGTACCGTCGCTTAATATATGCACATCTGTCATGCTCCTTTGTCATTGTAAAAAGATCCTTGTGATCGTCCAGAACACCAGATAATTTGACAAGTGATGACAAAATGGAAGGCTCAAGGTGTTTTGGCCAACACCATCGTTGCTCCCAGCAGCTTCCGGCTCCAAACAAAGAAATGTGTTTTTCTCGAATCTTTTTTGCCGCTAAAACCTCAACTTCAAAAAGCTAAAAGTCCCTTGGATTTCATTCAATTTTTTTAAAATTTGGAGAGTTTATAAAGTAACTCATGATCCAAAAAAGTGATCGCTGAACTTTGATCAAAAATAGCAAGAGATAGAAAACAGATATCAAAAATCTGGGACACCCTTTTTGAGCTTATTATCTCCTGAGTATGTTAAGCCATTTTTCGCAAACAGCTTAAAATGTATGTGTCCGTTAACGTTTTCACTGAGGCATGGTCAAATTTCGCTTCGAGGGCAATAATGTGAACAACAATAAAAAAAATCGTATTTTGAAAATTTCTTCATAAACTATATTTACTCAGCTTTCAGAAAATGTATACTTTGTTTGTGTTATACTATAAAGGCAGCGCATTATTTAAGTTTGCGCGCATAGTGGTCGTAAACATATCCTAATACCTTAATTAGAGTAATTGTTATTTGGGATGCAAATGTCAAAATAGAAATTGTGCACGCGTGCTACATATGCTCTCATAGAGCATGCACTCCCATCCAATCAGAATGCAAGATTCAATCATAACATGTATTTTATAACTCACCATACCACACTTTCACCCAACCACATTCCCTTTCATTCCCATAAAATTATCTTTCATACCATCCTATTCTTCCATTTACCCAATATTCAGACCCACATCTTTGGCCTGGGAAGTGCGAAAGTCCTCTCCTGGAAAATCACTTGTCACAAGTCCATGTACAGTCCAGCCAATCACTGAACGAAGTGCCCAAAGCCCAGTACGAAGCTTGAACTTCAGCACAGCTTGCACAACAGCCAATGCCATAGCCCCCAAGCCAACAGTGCTTGTTCAATCGAATGTTATTAAACAAAATGGTCCATCATGGGCTGACAGAGTCAAGGGGACACAACCAACAGTGGCAAATAAAAATTTGGTAGTTCCGTCAAGTACCACAGCTTTTACAAAAAGTCAAGAGCTTCATTTGAATGGAGTTACACCAAGAAGTGAGGATGACCAGGATGACGGCACTGATGAGGAAGGCTGGGAAACTGTTCGGCATGGCAAGAAACATACGCCACAAGGTACCCATGGTAACCTTAGAGGAAGTCAACAGAGAAATAAGAATTCACCAGAAAAGAAAGAGGTGCACAATCATCTTGTGAATGGATATAGGAATGATAATGTGAATGGGAATGTGGATGGGAAGGATTTCACAAAGCTTAGTGTGAATGCAAATACCACTCCAAGGAAGATTTCCCTTACTTCAGAAGAAGAAGAGCTTGCTACTCATCTAGATGACAGTGACCTTGAACAAGAGCAAGCCTTGGATCTTGAGCACCAGAAGGCTATCTCAGATGCATTGGAAGAAGAAGAGAACCTAACCAAAGAGATTGAGGAATGGCAAGAACAAGCCCTTGCTTCGGCTATTGAACATGAACAAAGCCTTGCCAGAGAGATTGCTAAAGAAGAGGCTTTTGTTACTGCATTGAATGGAGAAGGGGAGACACCAACCTCCGAGCTAGAGACTGAAACTGAGGGTGAAGGAGAAGGAGAAGGAGATGAAAACAGTACCGAAGCAGGGGAGATGAATGTAAGTTTGAATTTAAAAATAACTATGTTTGTGTGATGTACGCTTATTCTGTACATTGTTTTTGTTGTAGAGTGCAATACCACATATCTGTGAAAAACTTTGTAAGAAATTGTGCAAATTTGCTCAAATTAGTAAGTTCAGTAGACCTCAGTAGATAGACTGTAGACCAACAAAACTTTGCACTAATTTTTACACGATTTTGTGAGTTTTCCACTTTGAGTTTTCTTTATTTCATAAATTATATTATACTGATGCAGGGCTCTAAATAGGAACTTTTTCATGTGCTGCTATGGCGCCGCCTCTCACCAATGCGGCCCGAGTTCAAGTCCTGCCGATCTTGATGTCGTATGTGAGTAGAGTTGTTTGTTGGTTCTCTCCTGTGCTTCAATGGTTCTTCTCCAGGTCCTTGCGGTTTTCCTCCCTCCTCAAAAATCAATTTCTAAATTCTAATTCGATCTCTGCAGGCTTTCACTTAATTTGGAGCCTAGCTCTGTTGGGATTGTCCCACGCTGTGATACGACAGCAAAAAGCTTTGTAGATTTTAGATTTTATTAGCCTGCCATAGTAAAGGAGCATGGTAAAAGGAGGTAATTCCAGTAAATTTTGCATGCCATTTCGTTATTCATTTGGCAGCACATTGTTATTTTTGCCTGCCAAACCTTTAATTTGGCCTGTCGTTTGGCCATTGGCAGGCCGCTATTTCAAGCCCTGCTGATGGACTATATATGCTATACACAATAGCGGTACATGTATTGTGAGTGGACAGACTTCATTAAAATATAGCTTCACCAACCAGAATGAATACATGACTCTGACACTATTCCACAGCCTTCACTAGAAGACTCTAGCAAGGCCATCAGCTGGGAAGATTTGGTTGCAAACTATGAAGGTAAGCACTTCTAGGGTATTAGTTTTGTACATGATTTTGTCTTCCCTGTTGCAAGACCATTGGGGAAAGATGGTGGCAGGCATTGCCAATTCACTGCCTCTTGTGGTCATAGGTTTGATCCTCAGACTTGCAATCGTATGTAAATAGTAAGTTAGTAAGTTTATTGGCTCTCTCTTGTGCATCGAGGATTTTCCCTGGGCATCTTTGGTATTCCTTCCACAAAAAAATCTGTTTTTAATTTGCATTAGTGCTACAAGGTTGTTAGTTCACCAGTGAGGTTTCCCTTGAGAAACAAGGACAATCTACTTATTTATTATTTGTGCAGAATATTTGCCCTCAGTTGTATAACAGCAGTACAAACTGATTTGTTTTAGCTGGTAGAGAGACTGGTATGAGTTGGGGGGATGCCGTTGAACTATCTGATGAAAGACCACCAGGTCGTGCTGTTGCAATGCACCAGAAACTGTCTGCACCAAACAGGAAGAGGTAAGACCACAATTTATTCTACTCTTCAAACTTTTTGAAAACTTCTCAGGGATGATGGAAAATTTCTAAAATTTAGGAGGCTAGGTAGGGACATGGAAGGGGAGGGGCGGGGAGGGGGGGGCGGGTGGCTACCATTTCGGAATAGAGAAAGCACGGGTTATTCAGAGAGCTAGTACATGTACATGTTTCACGACATGTTTCCACAACAGTTGTTGCAATTTTTCACCAATATTATTGAAATTTAACTACCTTCGTATAAAAAAGATCAAAATTTTTGCAACCTTCTTTTGTCAAAAAATTTGTGTTTTTAAAAAAAATGATTTCAATTTGTAATATTACAATGCTTTTATCTTGTTTGATTCAAAGACCTTTGGAAGAAAGGATAAGGATACACGAAGAGAAACAGGTGAATGTCAAACAGCATTTTTACTACAGCTGTACATGTATGCTAAGGGACTAGTGAAGGGTGACAAAGAACTAAGCCTTTTCCCCTCACCCTTGGGGTCTTAGATTCAAGTACTGGACATGGCTTCCCATGTCAGCAAAGTTGGCTGGGTATTTCCTTTGAGTTGAGAGGTTTTCACCAGTTTCTCTATCTTTGAGTATGCTGTGCCCTGACTTAGATCAGCCCAGAGGTTGTTTCAGGGCTCAATCTGTGAGTTAGCCATGCCCTGACTTTAATCAGCCAAGAGGTTGTTTCAGGGTTCAATCTGTGAGTTAGCTGTGCCCTGACTTAGATCAACCCATAGATTGTTTCAGGGTTCAATCTGGGAGTTATAGCTCTGCACTGACTTACAGGTAGATAAGCCCAGAGGTTGTTTCAGGGTTCAATCTGTGAGTTATAGCTGTGCCCTGACTTAGATTAGCCCAGAGGTTGTTGTTTCGGGGTTTGATAACTCTTACATTGGTTCCATTAATGACAACTTGACATCTAAGATCGAAAGCCATTTGACTTTGATTTTTAGTTCAAAGCACAACAAAAAAGAGAGAAACTTTTGGAGGAGAGACTGCAAAAGCTACAGATGCTGTCAGAAAAAGTAAGAGTGTCAACACCTCTCCGTCAATCCATCTACTCCCCCTCCTTCACACCCATCCATCATTACATACACGTCTCCAATTCTTTCATCCATACATCCTACAGTACCTCCCATTCTATTCGTCCAATTTAGTTCATTCACACCAACCTCAAATCCCATTAATTTATCAATCTATCTGTACACCCATTCTTTCATCCATCCCTTTCCTGCCCACCTCCATCCATCCATCCATCCATCCATCCATCCATCCATCCATCCATTATTGGCCTCATTCATTTATCCACACATTCATCCATTAGGTCCCAACCGTCTATCTACTCAGTTATCTTTAAAGCAACCTCACTTTACCTTGAAAATTTCAGGTTGAGAAGGTCCGTGATCTACAGGTGGAACTCATACAAAGCCGCCACTTGTACTTATCTGAAAAACAAAAAAGGGCAGAACAATTGAGAATGACGATGATCAAAGAGAAAGTACGGAAAGCAAGAGGCGAAGAAGCTAAGGTATAGCAACAATAACCAATGAGAGTTACAGAGTTAGTTATAGCGAGTTTGCACGTTTTGACGACAAATTTCCCGCCAGTTCATTTTTTAAAAAATTGGTAACGTTTCTCGTTTTGGCGCGAAAAATCCTGCCATTTCATTGGGTGAGAATTAGTGAACATCGTTCGCGTTTTGGCGGTAAAGTTCCCGCCATTTCATTTGCTAAGAACTGACGGATGAGCGTTTGCTAGGATGAGACAGGTTCTTCGGCAGCTTGCTAAATGCCAAAATTTACGGTTCGATGACAGGTGAATGAAATCGCTTTTATCAACACGCTAGAAGCACAGAACAAAAAGATCGAGGTTATGTCACGAATACAGGTAAGAACCTGGGTTTTTCAATTTTTAATTTTATAATATTTATACTACACTCAACAAAATAACTGTATTCTGATTGGACAAGAGGAGTTCAATTATAAATCCCAAATTGTACTCTGTCGAGTCCCAATTAAGTTGCTCAAATTTTTTTGAGCGTATTATAAACGAAAAATTGCACAATCTTCTCGTACAATTCGGAATCTATAGATACTCGTGATGTTTTAAAAGTTGTTAATTTAGGCTCGCCTAAAGGTTCGTCCAATTTTTGAAAACTTTCAACCCATCACTTGTACCTATAAATTTCGAATTGTAATTGAGATCGTTCGATTTCCTAAAAAAATAATCAGGAATTCAAAACGAGGAATCCGGAATCAATCTCCCGGAATCTGGATTCTACCATCGCTTATGATTCCCTTACTAGTTTTATTATTGTGACGTTAAATTGAGTATTTATTATTGAATGGTCTTTTTTCAGGAACACGAAGCAAGGCTGCAAGATTTGCAGGTCAGATAATGTCGAATGAAAACTTTTCAAAACTGCTTTGAAGTTTAAATAACATCTTTAAAAAATAATTTTAAAAAAGTGGGAAATATGAAAAAGGACATGATGAAAATAAAACTTCTGTCCTGTTGTGCTATTATTTTCTTTATCTTACAGGAAGAACGCCAAAGAAAAAGAGAAGAACAGCAAGCCAAGGAGGCGGCTGCACAGGTCAGTGTAACTCATTTCTCTTTTTGTGATAGTTTTTTATCATAGGACTGAAGATAAAGATGACTAGTCTTTTACTGCCTTACCGAAGACTATCTTATCTTTTAAGATGATCAATGTAAGTGGCGCAACTGTGCTTTCAACGTTACTCCCGAGAACAAAGTTTTAAGGAATGTCCAAATTCTGACGCAAGAAGCCTGTTAATGCAGAAAAATGAGCCAAAATTATGTTCTTCCTGAAAGTGGTCTTCAATCAAATGGTTGTTGAAATCTTTATTTTCTCACTATGACTACTTTTGCCTTCCATTTTAGGAAAGACGTCGACAGTTAGAAGCTGAAAGACTTGCGAGGCTGGAGGAGATGCAACAAAGAAAACTAGAACAGGTATGAATATTAACCACTTTAGGGGACATAATTCCAAGATGGCGTCTGTTTCGCCCCATCCCACAATGCACTGCAATGCTAACTCGTCCCAGTTTTTTCCTCAACCTGGGAATGGCTAATACAGTATAGCCTCTAATAAGCGACCACCATAGAGCGGCAAACCTCTAATTAGCGACCGACCTCTATTAAGCGACCACTTGACAATACCCCAAAGATGGTCGCTTAACAGAGGTTCTAATGTATATCGCCTGCCGCCTCAGTCCCTTTACTGATTCATTTAATAAATCATGTTATGATTGTAGGAAGCTAAGTATAAAAAGGAGAAGATGGAAAAAGAGAAAGCAAGGGAGGAAGCTGCTAGAGAAAAAGCAAGGTTAGTTGGGTTGTGGAACAGTATCACCGTGAAATTAGGAATTAGACAATTCTTTATCTATTCTTCAGGGACAGAGAAATGCGCATTGCGGCAAGAAACGAAGCATTACAGACAGCAGCTGAGCAACTTCAAATCAAAATAAAACAGAAGGTAAGGGTACAGTAAACAGAGCATATGAATCATGTTGTCACCAGACGGCTGCTCAGTATGTTTCTACTCATTTTATCAATTTTTTATTTTTTTATTTTTTTATTTTTTATTTTTCGTGAAAGCAAACGGACTGCACTCGACGACACGAACAACAATTAGAACAAGTCAAGGAGAAGGTACGTAGATAAGCTTCTCTTTTTTTTAGGTTACCTCTGTTTTAATCTAATTGCTACGCAATGATTGAGACGGACTGATTGGGGAAGCAGTTGTGGCGTGCGAATCGGTTTTCCCTTCTGTTTTCTCGGAGCGGTGAGCTAGGCGCCACCAAGTTAGGGGGAAAACAGGCTTTGCTGACGTTCATTGACACTGTTATCATACACACCTAGGCCGCAGGTATATCTAGACATCCCACCCAAGAAGAAGTACCGACAGTAACACCATACGAAACAAAGAAAATGTGCACCCTCTGTAATGTTGAGGTAAGCTATTGAAGACATTAATTCTACACTAGGATAACTAGCGTGACTAACAGCGCCCCCTAATCGCACAATTTGCCATCGCGACAAGATAGGACTTTGGTGGACTTCAAGGGCGCGTGAAAACGGCTTGTTACTGTGCAGCTCAGTCGTAAAATTCCTTTAACCCGCTCCTCCCAAATAGCGATACAAAATAAAGATTAAGTGTTAAATAAGCTCCAGCATACCCGCACATTGGGCAAGCCAGTGCACGCTCCAAGAGCGTCTTGTTTATGTTGTATGATAACGCTTTGCCGTTGGCGTAATGTTTTCCCATCTCAGACCTCGTGTCATTCTCTAGACTATCATTTTAACGGTTACCCATGAGAAGAAACATAAATATTCTCAAGAGAACGACATGTGGTCTGAAGTTAAAAAAACGACATTACGCTCTCAATTTAAGGCCTATTGATCATCTTTTTAAACATATGTTCCTACAGATCGTATCCGAGGTTTATTTATATAGCCATCTCCGAGGTAAAAGACACCAACAGGCATTGGCATTGTTAGAATCCAGTGGGTCCAAGGGACTTAATGAAGATAAGGTAAATAATTGGAAAAAAACCACAGCAAGAACAGGACTCGCTTTTGCGACATTCTCGTTGATAAAGATCCCGCGCGCTTTTCGCTTTGCTTGCATAAGCAGGATCTGTGTGTGTGTGTAGGGGGGGGGGGGGGTGCTCCTCAGAATCCCCCCCACTTGTGTATGAAAAATACTAGAAAAAGTACCTTCGGCAATGTAAAATTGAACATTTGTTTCATCGTTAGTTGTTGCACCGTAACCGTGCCCTATTTCTAGGGTGAGTCTTTCAGTGTTTTAACCATTGACTCAACGCGTAGTTATGGCTACGGTAATATACATAACGACAACGAAACTGTCGTGTCGTTTCAAACTCATAAGAAAATCACTTTACTATGTTCTGTTGTAAGAAGTGCGGTGTGGAATAGAAGGGCGGTGATGGATAGAAGGGCG